GTGTGTATATATATATATATATATATATATATATATATATTATTTCAGGATCAAATTAAAAGTTGATGAATAACCAAAGGAAAAGTTATAAAATTCTATAAGAGGAATGAACGATTAACTAATCGGTAAAGACAAAAATGTATAGTAACATATGATCTGACGGTAAAGAAAGGGCCACCTATTGGAGGGTGAGATCATCGAGGTAGCAATTGAAATGATTTCAAAAATCCAAACACTGAACAAACTCTAGAACTCAAAAGAAAAGGCTACTGTACATCCTTATTTATAGTAGAGTGTAGGTAGATTTGGGTATAGCAGGACTTGATTTGCGATTATTAGGTTAAAAGTTTAATGTTTTTCACTCACTTTTAATTTGAAGTTGATAAAAGTTTGAAGGTTAATAAAATTAACATGTCGAATTTTAAAAGACGTGAATAAAAATTAAAGAGTTACAATTTTTATGAAAAGTTACAATTTCAATGAAGAATTGTGATCATTTTGAAAGATTGTGATTTTTCAAAGGTTTGTAATCTTTCTGATAAAATACAATGAGAATATTTTCACACTATCCTTTGTTTTTATAAATCGAGGATTTTCATCTCATTTTAGTTGAACTATTTTTTTGGACTTGTACTATATATTAGTACTAAATCTAGTATTTAAATATATTTTACTATGGTTAAGTGCTTAGTTGACACCGAAGTTTTAGATATCGATATATCAGTTAATAAGATCGTTGTATCCTAAGAGAATATATTTCATTAACCTGAGATATTTGAAGTGAATAATTTCCTTAAAATTTAATTTTCTAATTTTGAAAATATTCTTTAAACTTTTTTATATTCTACCAAATTCTTCAAAATTTTATTCTAAGTATCTTATAATTACAAAATAAATAACACAACATAGTCAAGTTTATATTATTAACTAAAACCTTTTTATAACAATCTCGTTTATTTTAAAAAAACTGTTATGGCAATGTTGATGTTTACCATGAAATTGGTACATTTGAATTTGTTATCATCCCCCCCAAAAAAGTGTTATATCAATGTCATTCTTTGTTATAGCGCACTAAAATTCATTAGTTGATTGAAACTTACAACTCTTGTATTTTAAAACTATAAAATTTGAGATTACAATTTTTGAATATAGTATCTTACAACAGGAAGTTAAAGAATTTTTTCTTAAATAGCTAAAATTTTTTAATTTAACTTCTACGTAAACATTCAATCAAAGTTAAATTGGTTAACTCTCGATAAATGAAAAGTGTCTTTCGATAAATGAAAAGTGTCACTCAAAATAAGACGAATGAACTATTACTTTACCTTATCTCAATTTAGAACATTTTTGTTCAATTTCAACCCACTTAAATGACATTTTTGCCTCTCTTTCGTTTAATAAAAAACATCTATCAAATTTCACCAAAGGCATCTATTTTGGTTCTTCTCTTTTATCTTACTTATATATAAAAAAAAAAGAGTTTTTTTCCCCCTCATATTACTTTACCTTGTCTCCATTAACAACCACTAGCTATATGCATTTGGCGTGGGGGCCAACTAAAGTCACAAGTTTGTCCATATTGATGGTACAAGTTCAGTTGCAGTAACAACTCGTAACGTAACGTATCTCTTATATATATATGGATTCTATATAAAAAGTAGGTCTCGTTCACAATTTTATCATTTGTTTTATACAAGAAAAAAAAGCCAAATTTTAACAATAAACTCCAAATGAAAAATTGTTGTATTTGAAACTAAACTGAAACGGTCGAGGGTTTTAGGGAATACTCAACACTTGTTGTTTATTGTTAATTACACTTGGACTCAACTTTGATTATTTTACATGCATGCGTGCTTCATCATAAGATTTAAGGTCATTACTAATTAACTAATTAATAAATATTTGATTTATGTTTCAATACGAACTAATTATTCCCATAATGTGATATTAATTAGCCAAAATGTTCAACATTATATTGGTATAGTAGAGAGAAAGTTTTATGATTTTTTCTACTAAAAAGATAATTTTATGATGATTTTAGTGAAGAGATGATTTTAGAGAAGAGAGAGAGAGTCGGTAACTTTCCTGAGCTCCCACCTTTGTTTTCTTGATGACTTAAATTTACAATTTTAAAGTTAGAAGCCTGCGGAGCGATTCTCGCTACATAAAAATGATTTTTAGCGGTAATTAATTAGCAATTACCGCTAAATATATATTTTTAACAGTAATTAACACTTTTTGTATATGTCCCTAAAAGCGTTAGCAATATTGGATCTAATGATAGTTAATTGATGTCGATAAAGACTTCAAGATTCTTTATTAAATGTGTCTATTTATTATCGCTAAAATAGTGTTTTTTTTAGTGTCCCTCTTGTCTAAAACCTGTTACTCAAGATATTTTTAAAAGAAAAAAATTATTTTCAATTTAAAATATTTACATAACTTAGCTAAAGCATGCGCTATGCAAGTGTATAAAGTTATTTTATCTTGAGTTGGGTTTAAGTGTGAACTTAATGAAAGAGTTCTCTTCATAAAACTTTTTTCTAAATTATATAAAACAAGAAAAAAAAACTGTACTTTTATAATGAAAATTCTCGGGTTAAATTTCTTTATACAAAAAAAAAGAAGATAAATCAAACAAAGTTAATTTAAATTTCCATTGGTTAATTTTTCCTATTTTCTCATTAAAAAAATTAACTAAGTTCCCTAATTTTATCATCAAAAAAGTTAAAAGTTTCACCAAGAGAAATTAATAAAAGATGTTAACTCAAGTAAAAAAAATTACTGCAAAATTAGGAAAAAAAGACAAACTTCTACTATGAAAAAAATTGAAAACTATTACTTTTTTTAAACAATTAAAAAAAGAAG